TTGCAGGTACTGCGCTGTCGCTAAACCGCGTGTAACATGTAACACTCTGACTGCGTAACGCCGGCGCCACGAAGCCGGCTGGCCCAGGGTCGGGTTCACGCAGACCTCGACGCTGTTGCCCTTGACTTCACCCGGCCTACGGCCCAGGGCCCGGGGGCGCTGTACTCAATATGCGCCAGCGCCCACCCAGTGCCGCCCTGCGTCGCCCTGCGCCTGCTTAGCGTCGCTTTCTCTCTGATTGCCGTGGCTTGTCGCGCTACTCCTTTTTCTCCTTTTCCTTTCGACTCTCGTACCCCCCCCCCCCTCTCTGTCTCTCTTTCTCTGACTCCCCCTCTCTCCTCCCCCTACTTTCCTCCCCCTACTTTCCTCAATCTCCTTCTATTACACCATATATCACCTCAATCTTTCGTCCCTTTTTTCAGGACTATGTCTCCCCGACGTATTTTTTTCTGCTTGTTCTAGAACAGGGACTTTGACATATCATGAAACAAACCGAAAAAAAATATTGCCTCGTTACTACTTTTCGTCTTTCTGAAGGAGAAATATAAATAAAACGATCATGAAATGTCGGTTTATCATTCCTCTGGAGAGGAGTCGAGTGTATAAGCAGAAAGAAAGTGTAGCAAGAAGAGGGCTCTCCGTGCACGCTGGTGGGATGGACGGCGTCAAGGCGTTCCCGGGGCGGGGCGGCGCGGGGCGGCGCGGGGCGGGGCGGGGCTGCGCAGGACGAGATGAGCTCGGTCGACATTCCTCGGGGGCGATTGGGTCTCCAATTGGGGGCGACGCGCGGCTACAGCGGCGGGGGCGGCGGGGGCTGTGGGGGCGGTGGCAGGCGATACTGTGATGATCAGCATCCCTGCGGAGCGGGAGGGGCGCGGGGGATCCGTCGGCCCCGGAGAGAAGCGGAGCGAGGCGGATCCTGCTCCTCCGACGTCGCCGCCGCCGCCGCTACCCTTCGGAAGAAGAGGAATTTACTTTTATTTTAAATTCAGATGGCGCCCGCGCACTTTGCGGCGGACGCGATTCGCATTCCCATCGTCATCATCGCCGTCTGATGGCGATCCTCCTCGGCGACGGCGCGGGAATAAGAGGGGATTATCAGCAGTGTGTTCTTTAAAAATCACTTCCGCCGCTCCTCGACCGCAGCGCGCCGACTCCCCGGACCGGCTCTCCTCCTCCCTTTTCGCTTTTTGCGGGGCCGGCGGCTAACGACTCTGCTCAAGTGTCAAAGTTTAGCCGGGCAAGATGGCGGGGCCATTGTCTTGGCTCGCGACCCGAAATAAGGTATATTCCCCCCGAACGACATTCTCATTGTCTCTCGGGTCGCCGTCGTCGCGCCTGTTTCAAGTCTCGGGTAGCATAAAGTTGCTAGCAGAAGCAGTCAAATGGGCGCCCTCCACGAAAAAAGTAAAATAAAAGGCGAAAAGGGGGAGGACAGAAAATGCTGTTTCTTTTTGACATCACTTTTATAAGAAAACGGCGGAGCGGGGAAGGTCGCTCCGAAGAGTGGGTGAGTAGGAGGGGGGAGGAGGTATTGTCATGAGAACCGAAAGGACATGGAAGCCATGGAGGCGAGGCTGATGGCTATCAAACGAAAGAAAGTATATACTGGAGCGCCTGAATTGAATCAGCTTCCTCTCCCCTCCCCGCC